GTGTGTTGGGGGGGGGAGGGAGAGAGGCAGGGCGGACGCAGGAGTTGGGGGAGGGCTGGAATGGGGGGTTAAGATTGTGCCTGTCGTGGAGGGGAAGGAGGAGTTGTAACTATCTGTCGGTCCGTTTGTCTGTCGGTCTGTTTATCTTTCGATGCATCTGCGGGTGTGTGCGAGGAATCTGCCACCGCTGGGCCCCCCCCCACCAGCTCATGCATTGACCCGCTGACAGCTCGAGGGAGGGCTGCGCGGGTCAGCACCCAGGTGTTGTTGCATTCGCCACCACATCATGTACGACTCATCCTGCCCCCTACCAACCATTTTTACCCCTCACCCTTTTTCCCTCCCCCAAAACGGTTTTCTCCCTCACCCTCATCCCCCCCTTCAGGCCCTCTCCACCACCCAACTCACCCCCGACCAAGCCTCCGACCGCTCCCTGGACTTGCTGACGGGCTGGCACCTGGTGGACGGGCGGGAGAGGGTCATTGTGGTGGAGGGGCTCGCGGAGGGAGCCATGAAGATCGTCAAGGTGAGGGTGGCATGGGGGAATGGGAGCGTGGCAGGGCGTGTGTGTGTGTATATGCGTGTAGATGGAAGCCAAGCCACCCAAACACCGCCATTGAAAGGGCCCTTTCGGGAGGTCACCGGCGAGTAAAAAGGGGGGGGAGAGGGTTGTAGTTTCCATTTGGGGGGGGGTATCGGGGGGTGTAAAAGGGGGGGGGTGTATCGTGTATGGACAGCTGGATGTTGTGTGTTCCCGGCCGTCCTGCTAGCGCTGAATGAACATGGGGGCTGTCGCACGTCTTAGATCCCCTCTCTGTGGGCGCTGGCGATGCGAGCTGAAGGTAAACGCCCCTTCGCAGCAGCAATGGGGACGGACGTGCACTGCCTGCTCGCTGCTTTAGGTGGTGGTGGTGGTGGTGGTCGTGGTGGTGGTGGTGGTGGTGGTCGTGGTGCTTGGGGGGGAGGGTTGTTATGGGGGTTGCTTAATCCCCTACCGGGGTTTATCCGCCGCACTTGATTACTTCTACCACCCGTGTCGCCTTCATTTTTTCCTGCTACTGCTGCTACTGCAGCTACAGCTGCTGCTGCTGTTGCTGCTCTTACCTAGGGCTTTTGCTCCCGCCTTCCAATTTCTCGCCTCCCGCACCCCTGCCGTTGCCGTGCACACACACAAACACACATATACATACATACATACATACATACATACATACATACATACATACATACATACATACATACATACATACATACATACATACATACATACATACATACATACATACATACATACATACATACACACATACATACATACATACATACATACATACATACATACATACATACATACATACATACACGCATATGCACCCAGGGTATTGCGGACTGGGCTCTGGAGGACCCCAAGCCTGAGGAGTCCTGGCGGCGGCGCTGTGTGCTGTTCAGCTCGTCCCCGAGTGTGCGCACCGCCTCCCGCCTGTACGCCCCGCTGGGGGTGGACCTTTGGATTGTGAAGTTGAGGGCGCCGCTCAACAAGTTGCTGGGGGAGCCGGGGAGCTTTGCTACAGGGAGGGTGCGGCCCGACTGCGTGCAGGTGGGCGTGTCGTGTGTATATGTGTGTATGTATGCGCGTAAGTGTGCACGCGTGCGCGTGTGGGGTTATGCTCTTTGCTCGTTTTTCTCTCCCCCTCCCGATCCCCCCCCCGGCTCTCCCCCCCGGTCAGGGCCTCCGGCGGCTGGGTACCCTTCGCTCCGTAACCATGTGGGCCCGTCAGGCGTACGACATGTCCTTGTGGCCCAGTCCCCTACAGCTGCAGCTGGTGGATAAGAAGTTCGGCGGGGAGCTGATGGCGGCGGATGTGCTAGGAGTGGAGGTGAGAATGGAGGGGTGGGGGGAGAGAGAGTGTGTGGGTGTGTATGGGTGGGTGGGTGGGTGCAGGCGTGTATAGCTGTGCGGTTCAGCTCTCTATGGGCGCAACGTCTTCACCCCCCACCGACCCACGCAGCGCGCTATTGCCGTGCATGGCGTGTCACT